TTTTTTTTTAGTTTTGAATAATAAATTTTGAAATATAACACCACTCTAAATTCCCGTATAAAAGTATTCAAATACTAGTATATGAAAATTAGTTATTTTCTAAATTATATGAAATACAAAAATGGTATGTTCGCGAACAAGCTTAGCTCGGATCGTTTTGAATAAGTAAGTTCGATTAAATATTCAAGCTTGACTCGTTTAAATAAATAAACAAGTCGAGCTTGAGGTTTCACAAGATAAATTGAGTTGTGCTCAAAAATTGTCTCGTGTTCAAATTACTATGACGCAGACATAAATAAATACATTTTGGCTTATCTGCCTAGGACGGGAAAAAGAAATAATTTATTAAAAATTAAATAACGTTTCTCGAATTCTTTTTGCGTATTATAAATAAACTAAAGTAAAACTTGTATTTCATAAAAATAATATAAGAAAAAAAAAGAAATAAAAATGTAAAACAAGCCTAGAATTTGACTTTGTGGTATCCGTATTTAGAATGCGCCAATGTCACAATTTTTTTTTGTGAACCATGTGGAATGGTATTCAAAACAATATTTTTTATCGCTCTAAGTGTTACGGTATCTTCTTTTCATGGTCTTTACTATAAAATCTTGTGGAAATATATTGACAACGCTGTTTTGCATACATTTATATGAGGTTTTTGGTTTGGTGTGAGTGATATGATTCAATTAATGCGTGATATGTGGATAATATTGTGCAAATAAAATTTAATTAGTATTTCTCATCCGAAATTAATAGCTCAAATGAGACATTTTTTTTATTTTTTTTTCAAACTGTTATTGTGTATAATTGTGTATTTACAGTATTAGTCTTTGGTTATCGTGTAGCCTTAATTTTGTGTATATATACTTGGTTAATAGAGTTACTGAATCATCCGATTGAGATGATTTTCACCCCAAACTTTGTTTCGTCTCTCTCGTATCATGGTATTAGAACCGGTTCACCCAACCCAGTTGGGCTTGGGAATGACGTACCCGTCACCCAGCCCAGTTATGCTTGGGCCTCATGAAGGACTCACAAGTGAGGGAGCGTGTTAGAATATACACTTGTGAGTCGTCTCACATCGTTTATACAGAGAAAATAAACCTAACTTATAAGCCTAGTGGGCTACTCCTCCTACCACCAATTGATTTTGGGATGAAACCCCACTAAAGCCCATCTCGGTTCACCCTGCTTTGGTGTGCTTCACGTCCGTGGGACCGCACCCGTCAACCCCCGTTTCTTCACAAACGATAATAATGTAAATTAGAAAACTCAAAAGAAAAGTATATCTGAGGTGTCCAAGTCAACATTGGAATCAAAACAAAGTTTGGACCAATCTCTCCTTGAAATTACATAGGCAACCAAAAGAGTATAAACATGCACAAACAAACAAAACTCCGAAAAGGAGACAAAAAATCTCCATAGAATAAAAGTTAGATGCAGTTGAACTGAAACTAAAATACAGGAATAAAAATATACATAACAAACAACACATACCTAAACTATATAAAACGAACAGCTTACTCAACGAAAGATAACAACCGAAGATAACCAGTTAAAGTAGGATCAGATCCCCGACTCAAGTCATGCAACTCGAAACTCTAACACTCAGAAGGCTATGGCTAAATCGACTTGAATCTACAAAGTCAAAGCCTCTTTTCACGCGGACCACCCCTAGATAACACTCCGTGACACGACCAACATCGCTTGCCTAACACAACTCCGACAATAGCCAAAACCATAATTAAAACAAAAAATCTCCCAAACAGCTCCCCAATCCGCCGGAGGAGCCCGTCTACCACCACCCCAGGGAAAAAGACGGACTCCATGAGAGGTAACTGTTGGTATATGTGTCCTAGAGACAATCATTTTAAGGACATATATCCATGATCACATTAATAATTATATTGGATTATAATTATGGTATTGCAATTAATTAAATAATTATTTGATTGTTTGCAATTTATTAATTAATTGCTCCCTTGAGTTGATACTGTCATTAGCAGAGTGAGATGTTAATTGATAAAGTATAACTCTAAAATCGCCTCAATCGATGATCATTAAGACAGGGATATTAATGATACGCGATAGATTGACATGTGGTCTGCATCATATTCTTGGAGAATATAGTAAGTCTCACAGCTATGAATAATTGTTATTCGTGATGGACACATGTTTACTTTGGAGAGTATTGGCATACCCTACCGATAAACCATTTGTTTATGTGTCTATGGAAGTATCGGTGTGTGGAATGGTGTAATAGTCCTTTGACTTGAGGTCAATACGCAATTCATGTATAGAGTGATTTACTTAGACCTAGTCCAACGCTTACGCCCTTATGGGTAGACACGGGCTTGTGTTGGGTAGATCATGATATACATGAAATTGGTAGTTGAGCCAAGAAAGGATTCATTCTTCGAATATAGTTTCGAGAGAACACTCGTTTTCTCTATACTAGGTTGATAAAGTCATTGGCCAATGCACGTGATTATATTTGAAATAGTGTTCAACTATAATTGATAAAATCAACCAGTGAGATGAGATAAAATAATTAATCTGTTTGGATAGACACACGTTCAAATCCTAAGCTTAATCGAGTGGTTCGTGAATGAAGGGACCGTACCACTATTGAGTTCTACACTAAAGGTTTGTTTGCTTGTCCATGTAAACGTACTTCATATTTTGAGTTCGTCCTTCGACGCAGTCTAGGAGTTTCGTAAGGATCATAAATTAGATTTATTCAATATATGAAGGCCTATAGGGTCACACAATATGCAATCAGTTTTTCCGACTAAGAGTGAATCGGGAGTGTTAAATATTCAATTAGATTGGAATATTTATTTATGAGTAATGAGATTATTTTCTGTTAAGTTAAATTGGATTTACACTTAATTAGTAATGAGATAATTTTATATTAGATGGAAAATATTTAATTAAGTTAAATTAGATTTATACTTAATTAAATTATTAATTGGATTAGGTCCAATTACCTTGGGTTGTAGTGTCTTCTAAGGCCCATATGATTAGGTTTGACCTAATTATAAATACACCATCATCTCAGTAGTCTTCTAATCGTTGGATGAGAGAAAAAGGAAGACAACGTAAAATAAAACACTCTCTAGCTTTCTGGATCGAGGATTCCTAGCTTCTTCACCAGAAAGGATTCATTGGCGTTGAATCGTGCATCGGGAAACTGGATTGCGTGGATACCATAGTCGAGGACATAGACGAACAACGGTAAGGTAAGTTTTCGTTGATCATTCACGCGATCTAGGATCATATCGAATATCTATTAGCCGGATCTTCGTTGTTGGTAAGAAAAATTTTAAATTCCGCTGCGCGTAC